CACCAGACTCATCGAGCAGCGCTTCCCCTGCAAAGCACGACACAGCGCAACAGCAAGGGTCAGACAAGACACACAGTTTCAATCACACATCAACGTTCGCCCCTCAACCGTTCAAGAGTTCAGGACAGCAAGCAGCATCCACACACACGCACGAGCCACCTCAGCCATGCACGCCGACATCAGCCAGTAGCTCCAAAGTCAGCTCCCTCATCGGCAGCTTCCACGGCAAGAGCAATGGCAACACACTGCCACAGACACATCCCAAACAAGCACCGCCACCACCCCTCCCCAAGAGCTCAGGACAGCCAGCAGCATCCACACACACGCACGAGCCACCTCAGCCATGCACGCCGACATCAGCCAGTAGCTCCAAAGTCAGCTCCCTCATCGGCAGCTTCCACGGCAAGAGCAATGGCAACACACTGCCACAGACGCTTCCCAAACAAGCACCGCCACCACCCCTCCCCAAGAGCTCAGGGCAGCAAGCAGCATCCACACACACGCACGAGCCACCTCAGCCAAGCACGCCGACATCAGCCAGTAGCTCCAAAGTCAGCTCCCTCATCGGCAGCTTCCACGGCAAGAGCAATGGCAACACACTGCCACAGACGCTTCCCAAACAAGCACCGCCACCACCCCTCCCCAAGAGCTCAGGGCAGCAAGCAGCATCCACACACACGCACGAGCCACCTCAGCCAAGCACGCCGACATCAGCCAGTAGCTCCAAAGTCAGCTCCCTCATTCATCGTCAGCATCGGTAATCACCGTGCAACACACTGCCACAGACACATACCTTCGCCCACGCGGAAGACCAAAGCACCTCCGCCAACCACTGCGTGGCACAACAATCCTTTCTTCTCCAGCAACGCCAGCACCAACAGTGCCAGCTCAAGTTGTGGCTCCCACAAACAGCACGCTGCAGTTGCACTCGAAAACAAGTCTTTGAAGGAGCAGCTGGCCGCCTCCAGAGCGTCTTATGGTAAGCCCCGCGTGCGTGCTGCTTCTGTGCTTTTCGCCTACTCCTTTCTTCATCCTGCGTCCAATCACGAGGCGTCCTCCACTCACTCTGTTGGCGTTGGAACGCAACCACTCTTTTCCAGATGCTCGCATCTCCGATCTCGAACAGCAGTTGCAAGCAGCGAAGAAAGCTTTGAGCGATATGGAGGCCGCCAACGCCGTCACTGGTGAGTTGACAAACTGTGATATGAATAGCGTTCATTTCTTCGTAAAACATGACGCATCTGTTCTTTCAGTCCGGTTTCGTTCCTTCATTCCACGCACACATCCATGTTCATTCTTGGTCACCCGCATGTGGACATTACAGAGGCCGCCAAGGAACAGTACAAGACCGAACTTGCGACGTTGACAAAGCAGAGACAAGACTGGGAACACAAACTCGGTTCGTTTACACACACACACACACACACACACGCACGCACACACACACACACACACACACACACACACGCACACACACACACACACACACACACACACACACACACACACACACACACAAAAGCGCGCACACACACGCTCACACACACGAATGCCTGCTGCCTGCTTTCCCTTCGCAAACGGTTGTGCTCCACCTCTGATCTCTCCTCGTCGCTCACGCCACAACTCTTCTTCTATTTCATGTTGAAACCCTTGGCTTGTTGCCCACAGAAAGCGTGCTGAACCTGAACATCTCGCCGTCTCGCTTTGCCAACAAGATCCCCATTTTCGACATCAACAACAAGCCCGTTGGCGGTTCGTTTGGTTCCCTGTTCAAGGCGGAGCTGGCATGCCAGCCGGTTGCTCTCAAACAGATGCTTGTGGCCGAACGCCCTCGCCTCTCCGAGATCATTGCCTGCGTTGATGGTTCTGAGGATATTCCTGATCACTTGAAGCAGCTGCGACGTGAGGCGCTCATCCTGCTCTCGCTTCGCCATCCCAACATCGTTCATTTCGTTGGCCTCACCCACGATGAGCAAAGCCGGACGTTGGCCTTTGTGCTGAGCTGGGCCGAAAACGGATCGCTCTATGATGTGTTGCACGTGAAGAAGCATCCGCTTGACAAACCAACCCGGCTGCAGATTGCGTACGAGGTGACCTGCGCCATGGCGTTCCTGCACGCCCAGAACGTCGTGCACCGCGACCTCAAATCGCCTAACGTGCTGCTGGACGCATTGCTCTCCGCGAAGGTGACGGACTTTGGGCTGAGTGCATTCAAGTCGGCAGACAGGTCTGTTGTGTCGAAAGTATTTGGCACTGAGCTGTGGGCATCGCCAGAACAGCTACTGAACAGACACGTGCTGCGGGCAGACACGGACGTGTTTTCCTTCGCCTGCATGGCGTGGGAGCTGTTCCTTAACATCAAGCCATGGTACCACATTGATTTCCCTAACACAGCAGCGCGCATAGATCACATCAGGGCACTGTACCAGAAGCAACAGTACCTCCCACTCGATGCCGACGTCAAGGGGCGACGTCTAAACCAGCCAGAGAAGCAGGTGCTTCGCCAGTGCTTTGACGTGAGTGGAAATCGCCCGTCTTTTGCCCAACTTAAGCCAGCCCTACAAGCGATTGTGAGGGATGCCAAGAAGCTGGAGAAGCTGAACAAGGAAAAGCAGCTTAAGCTGCTGCATGGTCCTGCCGACGCCGCGTGGAAGTGGCACCCAGACATCCTTGAAACACTGCAACCCCGAATGGTGGCTCATCCAACACGCGCGTCAGTGCGCATTGCTACTGTAGAAACTGGCCAGAAACAAGCGGCCATTGCAGCGCAGGTGAAGGCAGAAATTCATGGGCTTGCTCACATGACTGCGTGCGTCTCGATGGCGTGAACAACATGCATCTTTGTGCTGAGAACATGCGTGACTTTCCTTCACCTTTCACACATGCTTTTTCTCTCTTCGCAACCACATTTCACGGCAGATGATCACGGAAGCTGGTGGCCGCTCCAGCCATGAGGCCACTGCGAACCCACTCCACCTCTTTGGGACGACCCTCGTTGGCGTCGCTGTTGTGCAGTGCAGCCAGAAGAACGCCGCCTTCAACGGCGCCGTGCACCGCAACCTCGACCGTTATCGTGGTCACATGAGCAGCGCCAACCACCCGTTCCATCCCAAGTACCAGATGGATCAGACAACGAGTGCACCTGCTCACCCAGAGGAGGCAGCCGTCCTTGCTCGCGTCACCCTCCACCCTGCTGGCGCTTCACCGTACAAGGTGCTGGATCAGACCATGATGCAGCCGGATGTGCGTCTTCGCCTGCAGCGCGTGTTCCACGGCGTGCCGTCCTTTGCTGTGGCCATGAGCATCTTGGGCGGCGATTTCGCACAGCTGCAGAACCTTGATGCTGGGTGGTACGGTGCTGGCTTCTACTTCACGCCAGACCTGGACTACGCTTTGAGGTACACGAGGAGGTGCAAGGACGTGCCGCCTGAATTGAGGAAGATGAAGTTGCCTGCAGGCAAGCAGTTCCGCGTCGTGCTTGTGTGTGACGTACAGTACGGCAACCCGTACCCAGTGCTGGGTACGTCCTTCAATGGCAAGGCACTCGTTGGCGGGCACGATGCCCACGTTGCCGTGGTTAATTTCAACTCCGGTAACATCGGGGATGCCAAGCCCATCAAGTCGTCCAAGTGGGCCAGCAAGCGCACCGCCGCCGAGATTGTGATCAACGACCCGTCCTGCGTCCTCGTGCGCGGCATCCTTGTGTTCAAGGGCTAGCAGCCGAGTTCATCGTGTGTGGTTGTTGCCACTGTCATGTTGTGATGTGACCGCGAATTCTGTCATCACCTACATCATCCTTTGGACTGTTGTGGATGTTGCAGTTCGTTGCAGTTCGTTTACATATGTTTGCACTTGCGTTGCGTTCCATTTCATTGTTCCCGCCACCCCGCATCGTTTGTGGTTGGTCTTTCTCTTGGCTTTCCGTCTCCACTCTAGTTACAACCATGTTTCATTCTTCCGTTGTCTCTTTCTTTCTTTCGTCCTCAGTATGGTGGATCTCACATCCCATCACTGCACAGCAACAACACAGTTACATCAGCGTTCATTCCGTCTCCGCCACAATACAAGAATACAAGGACACATGCCACACAATTCAAACCTTGTGCTCAAGCCAAGTTGCTGCAAACCAAAAAGCTTTCTTTGTCCACAATGCCCTGCAAGTCTCTACTTCACGGTGTATACGAGGATGGAGCCACCGTCGTAGTTTGGCACAAACGCAGTCTGCAACACTCCAGCCTGCAATGGTGTATATGTTTGGCGCGGGGGGATGTCAGAGTGAGCATACTTGGTGTGTTAACACACACACATACACAACAAGTACGCTCCCACCGCCTTCCCCTCAAGCCATACCTTGTCAGTGTGTGCTGCGACAACGCCGACAACGCCGTTCACGTCCACGATTGTCGTTCTGCTCGCGTTCAAAAAGCGGTGTGACACGACGGGGCATAAGGGGACGTGATGCACGGGGCGGCGCCATTGCGGTACAAGACGCGCAAACACGTGCACAGACACGCAGACATAGATTCACTGGCATAAACGCAATCGCAGACACACACATACAGATGGCAGGACAGCAAGGCACACATTTGGACATTAATCTGCCCACCAATCCACACTGATAGCAGCCCTTGACCGCCCCCCAACTCCCACGACACGCGCTAGAGCCAGACCTGTTGTAAGCGTCGCCGTTTGGAAAGAGGTTGTAGGCGGCACGGGAGCCATCGCCAGCCACGAGGATGGAGGGCCGTGGCGCGGCCGACGACAGCAGATAGGGGGTGAGGAAGCCAGGGGAGGCCTGGTTTGGGCCGGGCTCTGTGACGGGGAAGTTGGTGGCGAGGGTGCGGCGGCGATAGGTACCGGCAGGGGACGAGGGCAGGTCGTACGCAAACACAGACCCGCCTGGGATGCGTATGTGACGCGTACGTGGATGTAACGGTATGTGAGGTGAGGTGAGGTGAGGTGAGGTGATGTGATGTGAGGTGAATGAATGAATGAGTGAGTGAGTGAGTGAGTGAGTGAGTGAGTGAGTGTGTGTGTGTGTGAGTGTGTGAGTGAGTGAGTGAGTGAGTGAGTGAGTGAGTGAGTCATGTGAGTGAGTGAGTGAGTGAGTGAGTGAGTGAGTGAGTGAGTCATGTGAGTGAGTGAGTGAGTGAGTGAGTGAGTGAGTGAGTGAGTGAGTGAGTGAGTGAGTCATGTGAGTGAGTGAGTGAGTGAGTGTGTGTGTGAGAGAGAGAGAGAGAGTGTGTGTGTGTGAGTGAGTGAGTGAGTGAGAGTGTAAGTGAGAGAGAGTGTGTGCGAGTGGGTGAGTGAGTCATGTGATGCATGCGTTTGTATACATGCATATACGCGTGTGCGTATTTGTGTGTGCACTCTTCTGTCACGTTGCAGTGTTGACACTCAGTCTGTACCACAAGCCAAGGCCTCCCGCTGCTGCTGCTGCTGCTGCTGCTGCTGCTGCTGCGCACCTTTGCCACCGAGGTGGGTGTTGACGAGCAGTTCCCTGCGGCCGTCGCCGTCCAGATCAATCACCTGAGAGAGGACCAAGAGAAGTTGGTGGGGTAAGACAGAGCAATGTGACACTGAGGCGGGTGCAACACATCCTGAAATGAGACGGAAGCACGAACGCAACGAGAGAAGCAGCCACAGCAACACAGGCAGAGAGTGCAAGAGACAGGTACAACAACAACAACCAACCAACCAACCAACCAACAACAACAACAACAACAACAACAACAACAACAACAACCGACCAACAACTGACCAACAACTGACCAACAACTGACCAACAACAACAACAACAACAACTTAAACAACAACAACAACCAACCAACCAACCACCAACAACAACACACAATACCCTCCACACACATACGTTACTCGCAACCCCTCCCCGCCCAACTTACATGCACGTCCTCTGTTGAGCCGCACGTGCCGTCGACGACAAAGGACTGGAGGAATGTTCCGTTCTCGTTCAGTTGGTACATGGCAACCTTAGGGTTGAAGTATTGCGCGGCCACCACATACAACACGCTCGCATCCGGAGCTGTTCAGTGGCAAGGGGGTCGGCGCGTGTCCACGTCATCAAGTGATGGTGATGTGAGCGAGGGTGCGCAGTGTGAAAGGCAGCCGAGTAGCTTGCTTACTCTGCGAAGGGGGAGTGGAGCTTGAACAAGCATGTACAAGTACAAAACCATGCAGCACGCATACCTTGCGGTGTGAAATCGGCCTGGCTGAGGAGTTTGAAGATGACTTCTGGCCCCTGTGTGATAACGTGCTCTTTCCACGGCACATTGCTGCAGTGTTGGAGATGAGAGGAAAGGAGCATAGAGGAAGGGGTGGGATGGTGATTACAGCGTGTGAGAATGACATTTGTCGCGCGTTCCACGGGCGTGAACGCAGAAAGAGTACATGCACCATATAATCAGGCACACACGTGAACATAAACGCACACACACAGATACACACAGACACACAGACACATACACACACACACAGACACACACACACACAGACACACACAGACACACACAGACACACAGACACACAGACACACACACGCACGAGAGTGGGTTGGCTGGCGGCTGCTCGAGCCAGAGGAGCTCGCCGGTGCTGCGCCCGATGATGGGTTTGTTGACACGCGCGGTGAGGAGGTCAAGGCGGCCGTCGTGGTTCATGTCCCGCCAGATACCCATGTGGTAGAAGTAGCCGTTCTTGTCCGTGGTGAGCTTCACGCATGAGGGGCTGCCTGAAAAGGGGTTGTAGATGATCGAGACACTGCCAGTCGACTTGCCTGCGCGGAGAGAGTGTTTATGTGTTGTTGTTGTTGTGTGTGTGTTAGAGTGGAAAGACAAGAAGAATGCATGCACGGTGCATGCTTTGGTGAGTGGCTCACACGGGCGTGTGTGGGTCTATCGTGGCAGCTGCTTGTTTGTCGTCATGCATGCATTGCTGGTGCCGTTTTCCTTCCTCACCTGGCACAAGAAAGCCGTCTGGCACAAGGATTGCGTCGTCGCGTCCAATGGTTCCAGGGGGCACATACGACACCTGTACACATGCGTTTGTCGTGTTGTTGCGTGTGTTTGTCTTTTCGCAGGAGCCTCACAAACACGATTGACGTATGAACATAGCCAAAGGATACACACATACACGCACACACACACGCACACACACACACACACACACACACACACACACACACACAAACGCAGACACACATAAACACACGCACACACACACACGCTCAGACACACAGACACACACACACACACATTCGCGCACCTTGTTGGGCCATTTGAAGTCGCAGGAAAACTCCTTGAGCGTTGGGCTGGGCCAGTTTGCCGTCGTCAGGTTGAGCATGGCCACCTGGGGGCGGAGGCGGGCAAGGGAACAGCGGCCAGAGGTGGGAACAAGCGGGTGGGGAAAAGGAGGGGAGAGGAGGTGCAAGGGTAGACACAGACACACAGACACACGCACGCGCACACACCCACACCAAAAAAAAAAACCGTGCACACACACACACACACAGACAGACAGACAGACAGACAGACAGACAGACAGACACACACACACACACACACACACACACACACACACACACACACACAGACACCTTGCCGCTGCCAAAGGGTTGGAAGGATGGCATCCTTCCCTCTCCCCTGCATCCCGCTTGCCTTAAAGTGGATGGTCATTGGCTCTGGGTCCTTGTTCTCGCGTGCGCACATGGCGGTGTACAGGTCGTGAAACGCCGCCTTGTTTGTATCTGTGAGCGGGTGGAGGAACGTGGGCTGTGCGTGGGTGGTGAGGTTGCCGCCAAGGCGGTAGTCGACCTCGCTGCTCATGGCAATGACGCGCGTCTGCCGCTCTAGCAGAGCGATAAACGGCACAAACTGGCTGCGCTGGAGGCCGCCCTTGTACAGCTCTGGTGGCGGGCGGTTGGATGTGGCGACCAAGATTACGCCCCGCTCAAACAGCAGCGTGAACAGCCGCCGCAGGATCATTGCATCAGCAACATCCGTCACCTGGTGTGCGTGCGTGTGCGTGTGTGTGTGGGGGGGGGGAATGGATGGTGTGAGGAACGTCGTCGAAAAGTGTGCGTGTGTGTGTGCGCGCGCGTGTGTATGTATGCGTGTGTTTTTGAGTGTGAAGGGAGCAACTCTGCAGCGATCGCGCTGTGCCGCCGCTGACCTGGAACTCGTCGAAGCAGAGCACCTGCGCCTCATCAATGAGATCATCCGCAACTGGCGGCATGGGATCCGCAATGCCCTGCGATGACGGGGGATGGGAAAGGGAGAAGGGATCGTGGCATATGTGTGTGTGATGTGTGTGTGTGTGTGTGATGTGTGTGTGTGTGATGTGTGTGCATGTGTGTGTGTGTGTGATGCGTGCGTGTGTGCGTGATGAGCGGAGGTGCGAGACAGTACACAATCACAGAACACGATGCGGCGTAGATGTGTTACTTACTTACACACACACAGACACACACACACACACACACACACACAGACAGACAGATACAGACAGATACAGACAGATACAGACACACACACACACACACACACACACACACAAACGTGAAACCACAGCGCGTCTGTTTCATCACTTTCAGACCAGCACACATGCAAACCTACAGCAAGCTTCTTCTCGTGGATGCGCGCGTGCACGTCCAGCATAAAGGGGTGGAAGTGGGAGCGCAGCTTGCGCGGGGTCTTGACATGGTCATAGAACACGTCCATCAGCATGGTCTTGCCGGACCCCACGCTGCCGTAGATGTACAGCCCCTGGGAATGCTCCGGCAGGTCGTTGATGCTTGTTGTCTGCCGGCCCTTGGACAGCCCAAATGCGCCCAGGAGCCGGGACGACCAGTGGGACGCCGGCTTCGAGGACCGCGCGTGGTGCGGTGGCGCCTCGTCCGGGACTGTGGCGTTGACGTGGGTGAGCAGCGCGTCCAAGGCGTCGCACAGCGTCACCTGCGCTGCGTTCTCCTGTAAGCGGTCAAGGCGGACCTGCTCATCGTAGTGAGCCCGCACGGGCCCAATCACCATCGGCACACCACTGTTGTCGTCGTTTGTGTCGTTGCTGCTGTTGCTGGTCGCCCTGCATGAACACGACGATGATGACAGCCAGCTCCGTGCTGTGCTGTGCACTGTCGCTACTGCTGCTGCCGCTGCGCCCTCTATTCTTCTCCCAGCGCTCACGCCCGTCACCACGCGCACCAGCCCTCTGCTGGCTGCCACTCGCATCATCATCATCATCATCATCATCATCCTTTGCGCGTGGTTGGTGCGTGTGTGAGAAAAGCGCACACAACAAGCACAAGGCAAAGAAGGAAAAAAAAAAAAAAGGGGACACACACACGAGCACCATGTCAAGTCTGCCAGTGCGTGTGCGACGCCAGGATGCGTTGATGGAAGCGGCGTGTGCAGGGGATCTCGACACTGTCACGACCTTGCTTCTCGCAGGCACGGACCCAAACACGGCCAACAAAGTTAACGGATGGTGAGTGTGTGTGTGTGTATGACTCATGAGAGTCCTGCTGCTGCTGTCTTGCTCGTCAGTCATCCCTTCTCCGCGCAGGGGTGGGTTGCTTCTGGCCTTGTCCTTCCCTCAGCCCTCATCGCTCTACCCCGGCCCCAACTACCCTGAACTCACTTCCACGTCGCTGCCACAAACAACACCGCACTCTTCCTGTGTCTTCTTCCACCTTCATCATCAACGCAGGACACCACTGCACTGGGCTGCAAAGCGCGGACACAAGGCCGTCGTCGAGTGCTTGCTGCAAAACGGCGCAGACCCACAGCGCACAAACAAGGACGGCAAGACACCGGCAGACATCGTGCACCAGTCGTGCGCAGCGCTCTTTGGCGTGGACCCAGACGAGCAGCAGGAGAAGCAGACTGGCCCTGACGCCGACAAGCCCGGGTTTGTGCCATCCTACCTCAAGTACCCCGAGTTCTTCTACGCACGCGCACCCAAGCTGCCGACAGCACAGACGGACACGCAACAACGGGGCCAGGACGACAAAGGCGGCACGGAGCAGGAGAAGGGGGACGGCATGAACACGGCAGCACCTCAGGGCATGCCCCACACCGAACAGCCCAACGTGAGCACACCACCACCAGAAATGACGGCCGACAACACCTTCTTTGACGTGGCCCTTGTACATGAGCGCCTTACCATCTCCGCCGTCGCTGTTCCGGGCACCACCCTCATCAAGGACATCATGACCCAGCTCTACCCAAAGGCAACAGGGTGTGTTGTGGTGTGTGTGTGTGTGTGTGTGTGTTGTGTTGTGGTGTGTGTGTGTGTGTGTGAGTGTGTGTGTGTGTGTGTGTGTGTGTGTGTGTGTGTGTGTGTGTGTGTGTGTGTGTGTGTGTGTGTGTGTGCACGCGCATTATTCCTGTACTCACACCACGCCCACCACCACCTCACCATTTTACCATCCCACCATCCCACCATCACACCATCACCACCCCACCTTTCTTTTCTCCCGTCTGCAGCGCACCGGAACACATCTATGCGGACAAGGCGGCCGGCATCCGCCTGCTGCCGTCCCAGACGGTGTTTGAGGCGTTCAGGGGCCTCGCGCTGCGACAACAGCTCATGGCCGCGCACAGGAAGCAGCTGGAGAAGGAGCAGGCTTTGCAGCTGCAGCAGCAGGAGCAAAGTGGGGGCGACCACATCGCACAGTATCAACAGCAGCTGTCACAGCACCAGCAACTCACTGAGCAGCAGTCGGTGTTCACGCAGGACCTTGGTCAGTTGAGGGAGCCTTTACACACGCGCACCGGACACTACGCCCAGCTAGCCATCTTCGTCTAGCACTAGCACACACACACACACACACACACACACACACACACACACACACACACACACACACACACACACACACACACACACACACACACACACACACACGCATGAAAGAAGATACACTCGAGAGGATTGGGCACGCACGAGAAAAGAGCCAAGAAACGCGCCCGAGCACAACCCACACACATGCACAACTAAAAGTGGCATTGAACGAATCAGAGTGGATTGGATGCACCAAACAACGGAACAAGTGATATCACACCACCACACGACCGTGACATTGCTACAAACTACATGAGAGGCCGGGAAGTGAAGCGAGGCGCGAGAGACATGGTCATTCACACATGCGCGACAGAGGGTTGTCTATGTGTCATCATGCACTCACAGAGTGAACCCTCGCCCGTTCATGTATCAGCGGCTGAGTGTCCTTGTTGTTGTTGTTGTTGTTGTTGTTGTTGTTGTTGTTGTT